CTGGTTTATTTTTCGTGCCTCCCCGCCCCCCCCCCCTATTCGCCATGGTAACCATCTGTGCACCGCTGGAACCCTTGAGAAACAGGACCCGACCCTCGTCATCAGCATATGAGGACTGCAGAGACCAAGGTAATGAACGAGAAAGCAGAGTGCACACACCCCTAGATTTTTTGTCAGGTGAAAAACTATGATATGGCAGTGGGAAGGATTAGTCCCCCAACCAGGGCTGTGTGGGCAGGTGCGGGTCTTCACAGGGCTGTGTGGGTGCGGGACTCCCCAGTGCTGTGCCAGGTCTCACCATGGCTGTGTGGGAAGGAGATGTGCTGCTGGTTAAGCGCCGTGAGGTCCTCACAAAGCTGCTGTGTGTATCCAGCAAGCGTGGGGCTTTATGGCAGCCGCTCGTGCTTAAAGAAAATTTAAAACGTCAGAAACAGCGCTTAGTATCAGGGCATTTTCATGGGTACAAGTACTTGTGATAATGCCCAGTATTGGCACTGGTATCGGTATTATAAAAGGGAAGTGGAGGGAGAGCAAGGAATAGAGTAGAGCAAGTAAAGAATGTAGGAGCCTCTAGAAAGAGAGAAAAACAATAGAAGACTAAGATAGGAACCTTGGTTGGGGAGGAGTCTGGCCCTGGTGTTCCTCTTAAGATGATTTAGACTACCAAATTAGATGAAAGGAGACTGGTGTATCTATCACGGAACCTAGGGGAAATTGGGAAACAACTAGACCGTATAATATAAAATCCACACAGAAGTAGCATTGTGTGTAATCCTCGTGACAGAGCAGCAGTCTACGAGATAAGGGTGAGGATGGGGTTGGACCCAAGTAAGACGCAAGCGTTATCATGCAGAACTGAACACCAGGGAAGGGTTAAATCCAGGCAAACTCCCCAGTAGCATAAAGTGAAAGGCAAACGAGGGGTTAATATACAAATCGACAAGCTGAATGCCAGAATGTTAGATACAGCCATAAAAAGAGAACATGGGAGAGAATTCCAGGACCGGGTAACTGCATGGAAGCAGGGATTGGGCCCGGTAAGTAGCTAAGCCAATTCTCAATCTGTAGCGGCTCCAGGCCCAGCTGCGTAAACAAAACAAGTAGGTCATCTAGCTGGCACCTGTAGGAGCCCCCTGCCAGACGCATAGCTTCCAAAAGTGGGTGGAGGAGTGCACGATCTGGCAGGAGTTGTCGTACAATGATATCAAACTGCACTGGACGAGACTTCCAGGCCTTGAGGAGGATGTCATCTTTATTGAGAAAAGGGGAATCCGGCAGACAACATCACTAGGCCTATTGGGCATAGATGGCTGGGAACCTGGGGCCTGATGGACCCTGTCTAGGAGGGCAGGCATCCTCCAGCAGACAACAGAAGATAGCCGTAACTGTCTCCTTCAGTGGTGATGCAGGCATAGCCTCCAGAAGACCCTTTATGCGGTTATTATTCCTGCAATTCCGATGTCTTCATGCTGAAGTTGTAAGCGGGAAAGGGGTCAAAGGTGGTACTATGATCGTGCTTGATACTCTGAATGCGAGATTCAAGGGCTGTGTGTTGCTGAGAAGGCTGTTGAATATCTGCAGTGAGGGTAGAGACAGAGGCGTAACTAGAACCTTCAGGGCCCCGATGCCAGGAAGGCTGCCGAGGTCCCCAGCAAGTGCTTGTTTAATATTTTAGTGCCTGTGTGCTGTCGAGAACGCCGACCCAGTATCTGCGCTTGCAAGTAGATAGTGAAGCGCCACACCAATTAAAATAGTCCAGATACAGCTTTATTCCATCAGGATCAGGGGGCATTCAAGTAGAGTAGCCAACGTGTTTCGTGTCCAAAACAAACCTTATTCAGGGCCTAATGAGGGGAATCCTGTATATGGACTACAATCCCTGCAGCTTGAAAGCTTTATATTGAGTTGTGATTGGTGTATTTCAGGCTTCCCAGCAGCTGGTTTGGCAGCCAAATAAAATGTTTAAGCTGCAGGTTTTGTAGTCCATATACATGGACCCCTAAAACGCGTTGGCTGTCCCCTGATCCTAATAGAATAAAGTTGTATCTGGACCATTTTATTCGGTATGGTGCTTCAATTCCCACATCTACAATAAGCATACTGGGAACTGCGACGATTATTGCCAGAGACGCACATTGGAATATAACTGTTATGGGAAGCCGTTAAATCGATGGGTTAGGCTTTCTTTGACTGATCCCGGGCTGATATTGTTGTTGGACTTCTCATTGACACACACAGGGCATGTTAGTGCTTGAGTTCACTTCTGCTGTGAAAAGGGAACAGTTTCCACCTTGTGGTTTTGCAGAACTGAGTTGTGTACAAACAACCTCTCTGCACTGACTGCTTACTCTCAAAAGGGAAGTAGGTCGGAGGATTCCCGGTGTTTGCGGTTATTTTATTTTGTTTTTGAGTTACTTGCTGGCTGTGTATACAGTATTGGCAATTTGAAGCTTAGACCTGTGGCTGGCTGGTGTCCAGGAGCCATTTTTTATAATGTACACATACGCGCAGCATGTTTGCACATTATAGCAGACTTCTCTCCATTTGCCCACTTGTTCTGTGTCAGAGAATTGGAAGTTTGAAGCAAGAGGGGTCGGCATGGCAACCCTACAACTATACTCTTAAGGAGAGGTCAGCAATGACTGCTTCTGGCATGAGTTTCTTTTTTAAACACTGGAGTCTCTATCATAACCATTTCACGCTCAAGGGATACTCCCGATCAGTGCTGGTACATTTATTAAATGCTGCTCTCGCATGTATACCCCTATTGTGGAAGCGGGAAGCCTCACCTTCTGTTCGATTCTGGGGGGAGGGGGTCTGGATTTAATCTCCACTGACCAAAGCAGGACCACTCTCCCTGAAGAAAAACGAATAAAAGCAAAAACATTTTTTTAATAATATTAATGCCAAATAAATAAAATATTAATATAATATCTAACTTTGCTACCAAATTAAAGCCCTATCTGTTTCAAAAAGATGTATAATACATATATATATTTAAGGTTAGGATAGTCTACAAGACATACATTATACATTGAGTGGCCAGATTATTATGACCACCCCATCAGTACTTCGTTGGGCCACCTTTTGCCTTCAATACTGCGGCGATTCTTCTTGGCATTGACTCCACGAGATGTTGAAAGGTGATGCGAGAAATCTGACACCATGCCTGATGAATAGCACTGTCCAGTTCTGTGAGATTTGATGGTTGTGGAACCAGCTGCCTGATGGCTCTTTCAACTTCGTCCCACAAATGCTCAATTGGATTGAGATCTGGTGATTGTGGGGGCCACCTAAGCAAGGTAAAGTCTCCCTCATGTTCATGAAACCACTCCTGTACAATACGAGCACCGTGGCATGGCGCATTGTCTTGTTGGAAGAAGCCATCTCCATTG